TTTATGTAATGAATGAATTCTATTTGCAAAACTCGTTTCAAACAATGTTTGGCGTTATTCGAGGCACTGGTAGGTTATGTGGGAACGGACGGTGCGCTCACATGTGCTGTTGGATGAGAGACAGAGTTCGCGCTATTGACTGGATCTGAATGAGGGATGTGTTGAATCACTTGCATCTCTTCTTCATCGCCCGATCCGTCGCTAATTTGGCTCAACTTCTCTCGTAATCTTTTGTCCACATCATTGTGCCCGTGATTGGGCTCTTCAATACTACACGGCTCGTACACACCACCAGCGCCTGTATTCAGTGGATTCACACTCACGGGTCTGAACCTCTCGTTTTTGTCGAGCCAATAGCCTCTACTCAGCATTCCTTTGAATTGAAATTTGGTTCCGTCTTCACTGAATCTCCTCCGAAGATAAAACAATAGGAAAACTATGAAACCAATGAATACCAGAAGTCCGATAATTAGTCCCACAATTAGACCCGTATGTGAAGACTCTTCAACTTCTTCTTCGGGCGCTTCTTCTTCGAGGACATTGTCTTCTTCAAGAGCCGCCGAATACTGAATATTCTTTTGCAATATATTTCTTAATGTTGTAATTATTTTCTCTAATCCCTGTTTTCAATGCACATATTTAAGCAATTAATTCATACCAATAGATTAGTATGGTTTACCTCATAATAATTTTCGTTAATGAAATAGATTTCATTGTTTTTGATGGTGTCGTCGATTAGAAATTTGGGAAATACTTTGGTTGTAGTCGTGCCTTCGGAATGAGCTATCTATGTGTGATCATTGAGTTTATAGTCTTATTATTCATAGGTGTCTTAAATACTTTATAAATATAATATGGGTGTTGTGTTACTCTACGTTCAAATGAATTTCAATACCTGATTGTCAGAAGCAATGATAAGAATAAGTATATTATTGTCACAAATTCCAAAATTCCATTTCTTTCGTAAAAAGTCGGCAAAATTTTCGGCGTTTTGTAGCTCTCGTACACTAAACCATATAATAATGAAATAATATTATGATTGATAAAAATCAAATAATAATAAACAAAAGATTACGATTCAAATGTCTATAAATTAAATAATAATTTCTAATACAATAGAATATAAGAACAAAATATAAATATAAATTACACACTTATATTCTTTGAAAATGTTCCTGATGAGTGCCACTCCTATAGAGAGTCCCCTTTCATTAGAGGGACAATAAGTGCAAAAACAAGCTGATACATTCTTGGCTCCTTTAATCAAGTCATTCAAACGATTTGCTAAATTAATTCAATTCAAATTTATAATTATTTATTTATTAACATAAATAAAAAAGAATTAGATTAAAGTTACTAATATTAGTGATTATATTGGCTTTCAATTAAATTTAATTAATATTACACGATTTATTTGGATAAAAAAT